AAATCTGAGCAATAAATCACCTCAAGACTATCAACTTTCCTATAAACAAGCATGTAATTTTTTGTTCTTTTGCAAGTATCTTGTAATTTTCTTAGCTGCCACACGATGATTTAATCCTGGTTTGGAAAGATATCTACCAAAAACACAAACGGCAAAAGCAATGTCAGGTTTGATATAAACCCGTCCATACATTAAACTGCCAACAATACTCATATAAGATATATTCTTTATAGACTCTTCCTCAAGATTATTCTGGGGATATTGACTTAAACTATATTTATCACCTTCCACAATAGGTATATCCACAAACTTACAATTATACATATTAAATCTTTCTAGCACACGATTTATATATGTTATTTGAGAAAGTCCCACCAATCCACGACTTCTACCCCGATGTTTCTTAATGCCTAACACAAAAGATGTTTCTCCAATATCTTTCATATCAAATATTTTGCACAATAATCTCATGAAGTAAGCCCAAATCATTACTTGCAAGCAAAATATCATCAACATAAAGAACAAAAAAATAAATTTACTCTCACTGACCTTAAGATATATGCATTTCATCTTTCATAGCACTAACCTACATATCAGACTCGGACAAGTAACAATATTATGATATGTTACAGGATCAACAATATTACAAATATCATAATCACTTTCTACAAGGTATACATAATATTCATTAAAAATAATAGGTCTCCTTAGTCTTGTAGACATTTTCAAGAAAATTTCAGTAATAGACTCTAAAGGTTGAGAAGCTTCAATAGGAACAGAAGGGTCAATTATAGGAATAGGAGGATTAATAACTAGAGTAGAAAATTAACAACAGGAGCAGATATAATATTATCTTGCACAACAGGTAAAAGAATAGAAACAAATTTATCTTGGTCATGCTCACTAATAGGTTGCGAGCAACAAACATCAAGCTTTAGAAATTTTGCTGTTAAGGATTCAATAATTTTAGTACTACGTGTAGGAAAATAGAACCGGTTTTCTTTCGAATGTTCTTGGTAACTTATGAAGAAACAACAAATAGTTCTAGGATCAATCTTTTTCTCAAAAAATGGTTATAGATTTTGACCTCAAGAGGGAAACTCCAGACTCGAAAATGGTTAAGGGTTGTTTATAATTCAAAAGGTATTTTTGGAATATATTTGTTAGGAACTTTATTAAGAATGTACAAAGTTGTTTTAATGTTTTTTCCTAAAGATAATCACGTAAGTTACACCTACTCATCATGCTCTTTATCATGTTTTTAAGGGTGCGATTCCGCATTTCAGCCACACCATTCTGCTTGAAACTACCAGATATAGTGTATTGGACAACAATCCCACAATCTTGTAAGTATTTGGCAAACGGTTTTAAATACTGCCCAGACACGTCATCTTTGCCATAATACTCACCGTTACGGTCAGACCTAATAATTTTGATAATTTTCTTTAATTATTTTTCTACCTCGGTTTTGAAAATTTTAAACTTTTCAAAAACATATAATTTTTCATTAATTAAATAAATATATCTATAATGAGAGAAATCATCAATAAATGTAATAAATTATTTATTATCACACAAGGTACGTGAATAAGGTCTACTTATACCAGTGTGAATAATTTCTAAAAGATCTAGACTGCGAGTTGTACTTTTTTTCTTAGTCTTGGTCAATTTACCCCTAATGCAGTCAACACAAGTTTCAAGGTCTCCAAAATCAAAGGGAAAAAGAATATCATTATTTATTAATCTTTGCATCATTTTTCTAGAAATGTGACTCAAACGCTTATGCTATAGCTGTGAAGACCTTTCTTTAATTAGATGTCTTTTGGATATAATATTAACAATATTTGAAGAACTATATTTGTTATTCGTAGCCAAGCATATATCATGTCAATCAGATGATAAAACACAATGATCAATAATTTTCGAATTTAAAGACAATTGAGTTTTATCATTACCATTATCTAATTTTATCAAGTAAGGAAACTGAAATAAAATTTTGCCTAAATAACGGTATATAAAAGTATTTTTCTAAAACAAGTTGAAAACTAATGTCTAAATTCAATATAAGAGTTCCTATGAACTCAACATAGACTTCATTATTGTTTCTTACTTTAAGCTTAACTATCCATTCATTTGGCTTCCATTTGCTTCTGAACCCCTGTAAAGTCATAGCAACATAAACAGAAGCCCCACTATCAATCTACCAAGAACTTAATGAGACATTAATTAAATTGGATTCAAGGCAAACAAAAGTTAGTGAGTTTCTTCTTTATTCTTCTTTTCTAACCAAGACTTGAATCTAGTATACTCACTTTTCTTATAACTCTATTTCTTGCAAAAATAACACGACATCTTTTTGAATAGCAGCCTTAGAACCTCTCACATTCTGACTAGTATCATGTCTTTTGAAATCTCGACCAATCTTTAGAGCATTATGATTAGGGTTTATATTATTTTCCTAATACAAATCTTTGAAACTAGATTTAGGTTGGAAAACTAAAAAGAAAGCTTCACTCTTTTCTTTTTTAAGTTTTTCTTCCTCAGAATCATACTTGGAGATAAGGTTATTTATTTTCTATGACTCATTTTGGGTGTTGCAGGTAATTTTAATTTGGCTAAACTCAAGAGGCAAAGAGTTAAGACTGTGATGAACAATGAAATCATCAAGAATAGTAATTTTGAAAGCTTTGAGCTTATTTTGAAAATGGACTATTTTAAGGATATATTCCCTAACACCACATATATTGTCATATGTCATACTCGTTAGTTCTTTCACTAGGCCCCAGCTTCAGTCTTATTGAATACCTTGTATTTCTCTCTTACAACGGTAAATAACTCTTTGACATTCTTGATTTCAGGCAAGTTACTCATAAGGTATTCAGAGATAGATATTTTCATAGCAATCATACTCAACCGATTAGATTTCTTCCACTTTGCGTAAAGTTCTTTTTCTTCACGGGAGCTCTCACTAGTAGGTTTAGCAGGTTCATTCTCTTTCAAAGCAAAGTCTATATTAGCAATTTTCAAAGCAAACTCAATATTTTGCTTCTATCTCTTATAATTAGAATCAGTCAAGACTTCAATGTTTGCATTATTATTATTCATAGCAAAAGAGACTGTGTAAAGCAACGAAAATATAAATAGTTAGCAAAATTGAGCAATAAATAAATAAAATATGCTTTAAAGATAATAAGTCATATTTTATTAAGAGAGTTCAAATACATCACTACCCCTTTGAGCATAAAATACAATATGCTATAGATCCTTTTTTTCATGAAACTAACCAATGAGAATGCTCAAGTTTTAAAAAATTTATCCTCTTTTAACAGATAAATCTTCTGGCTATTGTATCTCTACCATAATATTTCATGACTTCTCCAAATTATAATACACAATAACCCCCTTTGGGCAAGTAATTGTATATTATAATTTAGAGACCATCTCGTAACAAAGGCATGAGAAAAATCTACATATTTCAATGAATGGACCACTTTGGTAACAACCATCCATCTTAACTCGTAGATATTATAACAAATTGCTCATAATTATGTATTATGTGATCAATCAATATGGGGTACTAACCAATATGTATCTTTTTAGATCACTCATCATTAATCGTTGCATTCAGATTTCAATTCTATTTTTACTATGAAAATTAAATAATTTAAATTCACATCTACCAACATTTAATAAATAATATGTAGATAATAAAAAAAAATTCATCATATAAATCACTGGGGACTAAAATTAGAATTGTACCAACACACATTACAAATTATAGCAATTCAATCAAAGTTACATCAACATGAAAAAATAATTTGTATAGATAAAACATGTGTCTATTCAACAACATGATCCTTGAATAATTAATGATTATTTAATAAAAAAGACACAAGCAATAAAATAATAATTCCACCATTATAACATAAAAAAAATGTTATAGGGGTTGTGAATATAAAATTTATTTGATATTTAGATCTAATCCAAATTAAATCCTTTAATCAAATTATATATTTATTAAAAATCGATATCAAAAGTTCTAATGTGATTAAAATCATCTAAATTATATATATATAAATTATTAGCCGCCAAAGCATAATTGCCCAAGATTGATAATCAATCTTTGACATAATTAGCGGCTTGAAATTCTCCACCAAAGCTTAAAAAAATTCAAGCCACTGTGTTTTCAAACAATTGACGGCGATTGTGTGAGAAATTCGATGCCGCCGCCGTTACTAAAATATTTTGTGTTCCCAAATTATACAAATAAAAAAAATAATAAAATAAATTAGATTTTAAATTTATGTACGATATATTCTGATACCACATGTAAGAATTTTTAATGATTCATATATGAAATTTAGAACACTTAAATTACAAAGTTTAGAACATACCTGTATGAATCATGATACTTGATCTCCGAATTTCTTTTATGAAATGACAAAATCTTCCTCGCCTTTTTCAAAGTAATAGACGGCTCTCAACGAGGCAAGTGAAATTAGGGTTATGAAGTGGAGATGAGACCTAGTCTGCAATTTATAATGAAATTTAATAGACTCTCCCATTATATGTCACAATTAGATTAAGACATACACTTAATCGTCTCAATTATATCAATTAAAAAGATGTAAATAAGCCTATCAAAATAGGTCACTTAATAGTATTAGACTCATTTTACTAAACCATAAATTCAGTCTATTTTTCACAAATTAAAAATTTACTTGTAATTAATCAAAGTCCAGTATAGAAAAAAATTCTAACACGGGTTTCCATTAAAAATGTTTCTATCAAACATTTGGTTGACCACAATAGCAATTTAATAATGATACTCTCGCAAACATATAGTAAACAGTAAACTGAACTTTATTAGCAAACACAAAGGGGAGCTTACAGCAGTAGCTAAAAAGGGAAGCTTACAGTTACAAAAAAAAAAACTCAACCCTCTATTTTAGCACTGTTACATCAAAACTGTAGCACTCGCTCTCTCTTAGCTTATTGGGTCAAACCCATAAAGCGCCAGCATCTTTAAGCATTGGCTTAAGGGACCTTTTGAGGTGAAGACTCATGACCTCATTAGCCCCACCCACCAGTTTACCACCGATGAACACCGCCGGCACGGTGGGATTGCAGCCGAGCCTCGAAAGAGCCTGTTCAATGTCCCGGCCACCGCCTCTCAGCTGCATTTCATCGAGCTCGTAGACAGTAGGGTTAACACCAAATTCAGAGAAGAGGGACCTGATGGTGTGGCACATGCAACAAGAGCTCTTGCTGAAGATCACCACTGGCCATTCAGACACCATTCTCGATACCTGGTCCATTGCACAAACAAAAAGCTCTTGTTCTAATTGCTAGATCCTCTCTTTAATTAGTACCAGAAAATGTGAAGAGAAATGGGAGAGAGAGAGAGACAGAGAGAGATGGAAAAGTGGTATAGAAGTGAGAGAGCAATGNATTTGCTGTGTAAGATTTTTTGTTGGGTTCCAAAACTAGGTTTGATGGATTATTAGGTGATTGACATCAAGTTGATGCATGCACTAAGCAATAAAAGGTTGGACGATAACGAATCTCTGCATAGGGAAATAGGGACGTGTCTTGTGGTACGGCTTCGCATATTGTGGACATGATGATAATTGCTAACATTCCATCTGAACTCTTATAGTTGTAGATTTCTCTTATAATTGATAACAAGTTCAAGGGTTGTGCTTATGTCCGTTTTCATATCCACGTCGATGTCCATGTCCATACCCATTTCCCCATTTTCCTTTTTGGGTTGGCTCATAAAGTTCGTTTACATTTTTCTGAGTGATCAAATACCGAGTGGGTGGGAGAACTCAACGCACATCGTATCGTTAGGCACCACCTAGTCAAGTGATAGGCACCCTCGTCAATTTGCACCAACATGTGCCGCTCGCTGTCTCAAAGAACCAAACACCAACCAACACCTCCTTCTAGGCACTTGCAAGGGGCGACAAGGGGGAGCTAAAGTCCAGCTTGCCCATCTCCAATAGTTGTGTAATCGTATTACAACATGCTCTTGACATCCACCTAGATGTCGAATTCATAGCAACAAGAAGTCAAACCTTATATATATATATATGTGTGTGTGTGTGTGTGTGTGTATTCCTTGTAAACTATGCATATTAATTGAACACAAATTTTATGCTATCAGTGAAAATCGAACTAAAGATGTTTAGATATATGTTTATCTTATTCAGCTACGACAAAACCAAATTGTACTTGTTAATTTAGAATTTTTTATCCATGAAAAAGGTTTACCTACAGTTTTTACCTGTTAATACTATTGCATGCAATCACCCATCAAACCAAACGAACTTAATTGTAGTTACAGTAGCTCAATCAGGTGTATCTTCCCCCTTGGAAATCTTAAAATATAACTCGATTTATTAATACGATAAAGAATTAGAGAGTTTTAAAAAACGACACAGAGTTAAAAGGTTTGAGTCTTTTTTAAGTCATCTGTTTCGTAAACAAGTAAACCTGATACAACACAAGTAATAATCGAATTGGGTATCGATGAAATCAATCAAAATAAATACACGACCCAATTTGTTTATATATCGGTTATACACGATTAACATACAACAAGAACTCAATATGACACAAATTAATAAAAAAATCGATTATGAATGAAATATTTTTTGACCCGAACTCATTTTATTCGACACGATGTATCTCGGTTGGGTCGGGTCAAAACCCGTTTAGATAACCTTTTTTTAAGCAAGGCTAGCAATTATGTGAATTAAATTCGATGAGATGTGGTCCATATTTTGTACATGGAACTTTCTGCCGTACCTTTCCAAGGAGGCATCTTCTGAGTTGGAGAAAATAAGTTGGATTTATCCAATTGGGACCGTTTCTTTCCTCTCCATAACCAGATTCGCATCAAATTTAAGGAAAGGCAAAAAAGAAGAGAATGTTTTTTAATTATTATACAATTGATAACACATGCCAATACTGTTCAAGAACATATGTACTTAATACTTTCTGTTTGGTACCAGAGAAAGTAGGTGAGAAATGGAGAGAAAATTTGTCATGCTGTAAACCCTTTTATTAAAAGGCGTGGGTGATTGATCCCATATTGATTGTGGTTCCACAGCTAATTATCAAAGAACTATGCTTTAGAACTACAGTAGTTAGCAATTCGAGTAGCTACAACTCTACTTAAGATTGATTTAGTTTTTACTTTTAAGCTCGTTCAAGCTGTAAAATGACCCAAGTTGATGAGGTTTTTAAGCTATTTTGGTAAATGAGCAGAATCGCAACAACGTGTGGCTCGACGGAAGTAGACTAAATGGGTTCGTATCTGGAAACAATTTTGTTTTGTTGCCAATTAACTTTAGACCACATACACTTCTCATTCGTTTTTTTTTAATAGACTTTTAGTAAGTTTGAACTGCTAAGATTTGATTTTATAGTTGAATTTTCAGAATTTCGAGGAGTTTTTGCTGATAAATTAGTTTTTAAAGTTTTTTGTTTGAGAAAGTAAGCTCGAATTTGATTCGAATGCTTGAAAGCTTTCACCAAAAAGTATGTAAGATCACACTTAAACTGGCCGAGCTCTAACTTGGCTAGTTATAACCAACTCAAATCTAAACATATTCAAACTCTACAAACATGAAAGGATTAGTAAAAGCTAATTCGTCTATGGGGACACACACATGATCCAAAGAAGGCCGTACGTGGAAAGGAGACTTTTGCCTTAAGGTCCCCAACATTATCTTCTTTGCTTTTCGCCACATTTCTTATCAACGCAAATTAACAGCTAGCTAGTATATGATAGAGATAGTATACTTATGTATATGTATAGGTATGTGGGCCCAACTACGGTATCGGAATACTTCTTCTTTCATGTAACGAGAATGTGATATATGTAAAGTTTTCTTATTTTGTTATTTTAGTTTACTTACTATATGATAAGTTATTTTAAGTGAATCAATCGACGTTTTACAACTTCAAATTATTTATATATAGGATTAGTATAAATNGATTTAGTTTTTACTTTTAAGCTCGTTCAAGCTGTAAAATGACCCAAGTTGATGAGATTTTTAAGCTATTTTGGTAAATGAGCAGAATTGCAACAACGTGTGGCTCGACGGAAGTAGACTAAATGGGTTCGTATCTAGAAACAATTTTGTTTTGATGCCAATTAACTTTAGACCACATACACTTCTCATTCGTTTTTTTTTAATAGACTTTTAGTAAGTTTGAACTGCTAAGATTTGATTTTATAGTTGAATTTTCAGAATTTCGAGGAGTTTTTGCTGATAAATTAGTTTTTAAAGTTTTTTGTTTGAGAAAGTAAGCTCGAATTTGATTCGAATGCTTGAAAGCTTTCACCAAAAAGTATGTAAGATCACACTTAAACTGGCCGAGCTCTAACTTGGCTAGTTATAACCAACTCAAATCTAAACATATTCAAACTCTACAAACATGAAAGGATTAGTAAAAGCTAATTCGTCTATGGGGACACACACATGATCCAAAGAAGGCCGTACGTGGAAAGGAGACTTTTGCCTTAAGGTCCCCAACATTATCTTCTTTGCTTTTCGCCACATTTCTTATCAACGCAAATTAACAGCTAGCTAGTATATGATAGAGATAGTATACTTATGTATATGTATAGGTATAGGTATGTGGGCCCAACTACGGTATCGGAATACTTCTTCTTTCATGTAACGAGAATGTGATATATGTAAAGTTTTCTTATTTTGTTATTTTAGTTTACTTACTATATGATAAGTTATTTTAAGTGAATCAATCGACGTTTTACAACTTCAAATTATTTATATATAGGATTAGTATAAATCCATGGCACCATTTGGAAAAACAGTCTCTACAAGAAAATAGTTTTTTTTTTTTTGGGCGGTAAAGTACTGTTATAAAAAGATTATTTGTTGCCACGAATACCTTTTTGTGGAGGCATTGTCTCACTATAATGAGTGGAGTCTCAAAAAGCTTTTATAACGGTAACGATCTGTCTCAAATAATATTTACGACAGTAAATAAATCTTTTATGATAACATTGTCGTCATAAAAAAACTTTTTTTTTTCCTTTCTTCAAAACACTTTTTTTTTTTTTTTGTGTGACGGCGAACACAACCGATGCAAAAAACTTGTCTTAAAAAAAACCTAATTCTTGTAGTGCATCAACTTTACTCAATATAGTTTGATAAGGAAGAATGCGAGGGAGGGCGGTTCATGGCATAACATAATAAATCATTGATTAGGGTTGGTGAGTTACAAGAATAATGTACAAATTGCACTCTCTTTGTCCTATTTGAAAGAGAAGAAACATAATGAAAAAGTGGGGAACATATTTCTTTGTTATTATTATTATTATTATTATTACTTTGCTGATTCACAGAAAGAATTTCTCTTATCCATGATCCAAATTAAAGTAGGAAAAATTCTCCTAAACGTGATTGATTTTGATTATTGAACAAAGGTACATATGCAAGTGGGATAGAACCATCCCTTTAGCCCTAAGGCAATATTCCATGTATCATATGATTCTCAGCTTCAGAAAGTTAATTCTAGAAAGAAAAAAAACTTATTTCTAAGACACGCTCATTTCAAATAGAATATAACAAGTACTCCCAAAGACCCTAAGGCAAAAATGATTTGGAGGACTTCCAGAGAAATGCTAAAACAACTGAAAGATAGTGAATCAGATACACAAATGTTAGAACAACTTTTGCCCAGAAATCTCGAGGAACAGAGCTTGAGTAGTCTTAAAAATTGTGCCATGCTTTTAGGGCCAGCCCAACAGCAGGTGTAAAAAAGTCTGGGCTTTAGGCCCTATTTCAAAGGAAGACCCAAATTTTTAAACATTGTAAATAATTCATGTAAAAAAAATCTTATAAAAATATAAGCCCAATCAATAGGCTCATAATTCAATCCAAACATTAAATATCTAAAAAACAATTAACAATATAAAAAAAAATAAAATTGAAAGGTCATATCAAAAGCCACCAAAAAAATAAAAAAGTCAAATCATATCTTNCTTTTAGGGCCAGCCCAACAGCAGGTGTAAAAAAGTCTGGGCTTTAGGCCCTATTTCAAAGGAAGACCCAAATTTTTAAACATTGTAAATAATTCATGTAAAAAAAATCTTATAAAAATATAAGCCCAATCAATAGGCTCATAATTCAATCCAAACATTAAATATCTAAAAAAAAATTAACAATATAAAAAAAAAAAAATTGAAAGGTCATATCAAAAGCCACCAAAAAAAATAAAAAAGTCAAATCATATCCTATCTTCCTTTTCACACACACAATTTCTCTCTCTCTCTCGG